ATTCGCAATTTCTTTGAAATCCAGCGATTTCTTGTGCACTCCTCAAGGATGCACAAATAAGTTGGGTTGAGTTCAGTGGTCTGTCCTTTCTCATTTCTATGGTTCCACTACTTACTCCACAGAGGAGTTAGGATGCAATCAATGTTCGCAGTACATGATATATCGAAGCGACGGCAGCGCTGCCCCTTTTTCGTTTCCACGTCGCTGTGACGTCACTGTGACGTCACCAGCATGCGTTGGCACACGCACCGCCGGTCAGCTTTCATGGGGCCGTTTGGAGAGAGAGCGCAGACGTGAGCATAAAATCAAGGGGACTGCAAATATCACGTAGACCGGGCAGCAGGGTCAACCGTCCGTTGGACAAAGTCCAACGAGGGGGTGGGGGTCGTATTTGGGGGTGGAAAAGAGGGGGTCGTATTTCGCGAGGTAGCGTTAATGTTACAGTAAGGGAAGGGATGATTTTTTATGGAACGGAGAGCGGATTAGGTTGTTGGCTGGGATTTTGAGTGCGAAAATTTTGCCGTTTCACATTCGATATATACCCCCGCTCGACGGCAATTTTGGAGGGAAAAGTGGGCGGGGTTGGGCTGTGGTCTCAGAATCAAATACTATAGAATCGCCCCCATGATGGCGATGGCAGGCGAGGGTGGTGGAGGATGGTCGTGAAGGGTTAACCCTGAGGGGGGTCGTATCGAGGCCCTCTAGAAGGGGGAGGGGGTCGTAAAATTTTCGAAATTGGTCCAACGTGACGGTTGACCCTGCCCGGCAGGACAGGGGGAGGGGTAGGCGAGAATCGTAACAGATCGTGGGAGGAGGGATTCTGAAGTTGAGTTTATGAGGAAGTCGTACGCATTGGTCAAAATTTTAGTGTGGACGGGGGGCATTGTTGCTCGTGTTAGTGTCAGCTCGAGATATGCATTATGCCAAATATCATGCATATTTATTCAAAAACAGGAAAACCAACCACAACTCTGCCCCGATTTCACATTCAAAAACTGGTGTTTGAAGGCTAGTGAACAGTTATTCCTCCTATCGTCCTTCCTACCTAATTTGATGAAAAAGTACACCATCTGATCGCCAGATTTCATCATAGAAGCCATCAGGTATTTGGCCGTAATTCCAGTATTTATGAGTTTTCACATGGCGTAAAGATGTTAGACGGTATGCGAAAATTCGAAGCAATTTCTACTCTATCAATTCAATCACTGTAAATGAATAGCAAGTGCCTTTGCGAAACGAAAAACATTTTTCCCCTAGAATATTTCAACCGTGATAAAGCGACGATTTCCAACCGTTTCTCACCTAGTGGAGGCTGGAATTCTAACAGAAGAAGAGAAAGATATGCTGGACAACACGCAAACTACTCATGGGATATGGTGGGTAATTGTGCATAAAGTGTTTGAAAAAATCGGTTAAAACTTGATCTTAGAGTTGTCAAATGCTGGCTTGCTATTTAGTGATGATTGGTAGCATTTCTTTCTTTCAGCTAAGGTACAATTCACCTCTCTTTCCAAGTTTCAGATTGCTATCGGCTACAATTTCATTACTTCCATTTCTTTCTGAGGAATTTTTCCATGGTCATGGTACGGCAAAGTATTGATCGCTTGACAAAGAACTGCCATACCTAGAGAAAAACTATCAAAGTACACTGCAGTATCGCCCTAACAATCGATACGATCGCCTCTGGTCCGAACTGATGAAGACGGCGAGCGAGGATCTGTGGCGTCCGCCGTCGGAAATCGCCGTTATCGTCCCATGCTTTCTTCACAGCGGCCTTCAAAAAACTTATATTTTTAGAGTTTGCGCTTGCTTTATTTCCAAGACACGATTAACGGAAGTCGAGCTATGAAAAAATTTCTTAGTGGTCTTTCCGTGGACGGCATCGGAAAAATCTGCTCCAGACGGTGCACTGGTCGAGCTAAGCGGGGTCCTCGACGGATCGTGTACCATTGCGCGTTTTCTAGAAGGCGGGTTTTGAGGGGAGCTAAAGTCTTCAGGATGCTATCCAGCAGTGAGTCGATTCAAGAAATTATGCAAAAGCTTCAGGCTGCAACCTCCTTGAGGTCGACGACTATGACAGATGACGTCATATTCTGAAGACGGTGAGGGCAGTGAAGGAGGGCCTGCGTGTACTTATAGAGGGAACATCCAGGGAATATTTTGCCGAGGAACTTTGGTCAGAAAAAAGGGCCGAAGTTCGACATGGGCAAAATGTATTTTTTATGTCTCTTCCCCCCCCCCCCCCCCCCTTTACTGTTTTTATGTCTCAAACTGTAAACAATGCCTTACTGGAGCCCGCTCGAGGAAGTCGGTTAGTAACTGTTCAATAGATGGTGCAGGTTTACCTTTATGAATCTTTTCAAACGTTTCGCATGCGTTAACTGCTGTGACTCGGGTCCGTTCAAAACAAATTCGTGAAAATTCTACATGAACTTTCAAGGTATAAGTTGCATTTTTGCTTAAAGTTTTGAACCCATACTTTCAGGTGGGTGCCGTCTCAATGGTTCTGTCAGTTGGCTGCCACTGCAAGAAAAGAAGGCCGGATTCACGATGATCTTCATCTGAAGTCGCTAATAGATGTAAGCGGTTTCTTCTGTCTTCTAATGTAATTTTCAAAACGTTTTCGAGTTTAGGACTGCCTTGAGTATCGTGGTCAATGTGGAATGATTTGGTCATATGACTGGATATCGGTCCCACTAGTATACACACAGGTACCTATTCTTAACCGTTTGTAGACTGAGTGGATATTATATCTACGATTTCGACAAACTCCTATTTTAGTTTTTAGGTTGTAACGATAGCGGTGTACAGTTTCTTTGTTGCGTGCTTGTTCGGAAGGCAGTTTTTGCTCTCAGAGGTAACCACTTTTTTCAAAGCCCACTGTTGAAAAAAGTAGAAAATTTAGGTTGTAGCCCCAAGTCAATGAAATTTTAGAACACATAATTGGAGGCACCATTCCGCGTCTACGCCTTTACCTGAAACATGCGCCGCCTATCGCATTCTCCTGTCGGAGGGATGGAAGCTGAGGCTTAGTCAGTCATATCAGTCGTGAAGTGCTTTAGGTGATCCTTCGTCATTTTTTTGCTAAGAAGGCGCAGGATAGTAATCGCAATGCTGCGATTATAGAGCCTGAATATCTGTTACCTCCTGCCACAGTCATACAGTGGGAGCATCTATTCTCTCCAATTATGAGGTTGAGGAGCTGAGAGATGAGATGTCACATCACCACTGCTTCTGTCATTGATTCAGCTCATGTTTTTGCAGAGCAACCTTACAATTACATTACAATCCGATTTAATTAGTAAATGAACTGTAACTAGATATATTGTTATAGTAGGCAGAAATATTAATGTCTCCAACGAGCTGATTAATTACAGGATGCTAAAGTTCCTGCAGCGCATTCGATTGACTTTTATGTGCCCATATTCTTCGATGTTCCAATTCTTCTTCTTTCTTGGATGGCTGAAGGTAGCGGATTCGATGATTTGTCCGTTTGGAGAGGACGATGACGACTTCGACATGAACTGTAATTATATGATTCCTGTGGTTCATTAGATGATGCGAAAACGGTTATGTTTAGGGATTGTTGATCGAAATCTCCAAGTGAGCCTCCTGATTGTTGATGGTCTACATGGTGGTCAACCTCCCCTCACCCAAGACTTCTTTTGGGATTCTGTAAGCGCAGAATTGCCGTATACACAAGGATCCTCGAAATATCGCGCGGGTCCATTTGTTGGATCGACGATGGCGATGGAGTTCGTCGGTTTCCTTATAAATCTTTGAACCAATTAGAGGTATAGCTGTTTTGCAGCATATCCGGTCAGGACGCCGAATGGGAGGTGGATCAAATGCCGGCCATCACTGAGGAGGATTGCAAAGGCTCAAAAAAGACAAGCTTTTCGCGCGACGACGATGTTGATAGCGTGTACAGTCGGTAAGTCATGCAAGTAAACATTTGTTGCTCCATTCTCGGGACTGGTGCATCTCTTCATTAGCAAGCTATTTTCAAAGAAGGTATGATCGACGTCATCGTAAAAGACTTGGCGCTCTATTACTGGGTTATTCTCGCCAAACGCTCTCCTCGCGGTTTGGCTCCCGTAAGAGTGTGAATTCGGTCCCGTCGAGGTCAGAATTGAGCTTCTTTCCATTTTTTCTTTTGTCCTTTTTATTGATCTGTGGAAATTTGGAATTTCAGAAATGCTGGCCGATCTCCTCCTCAAGTAAAACTTTCACTTGCGGAGCATAACTTTAATTATGTGCCGCGCCAAAAGTGCAGTCTGGACGCGAATGAAGTTTGTCAATTTTTGAGATTTGACGAATGCTTTCCTGTTTTTATAATGTGAGTTCTGCAGGAAAATAAAGAAATCAGTGGTAGCTACAGTGCATTATCACTGGTCAATGAAACCAGCCAATCAGTTTCGTCCTCAACCGGTCCTGTCAGCGGAGTAAGTCAACAATCACTTTCTCGTTTCTCATTAGTATTCTTCTATCCGTTGAGTATACCTGAGACCTTGAACAGGATGGTGGGTAAAACATTCACTTTCTTTGCCGAAAATGCCCTTTGCATTTAAAGCAGCAGTTCCAGTAGGGTCCATACTTTCGATAATAATGGTTTGGAAATGATGCACTAGCCCCAATTAGAATATAGGAAGTGCCACTAATTAAAAAACTCGCCTTGGAAAGCCACAAGGAGGATCCTGAACATGTGGCAACACCTCAATTCTTCCTAATCCTTGTCTCCGCCGACTTCCTAGCCGTCGAATAGCGGGTTTGGCTGAGACATGTGCGATCGTTTCGGGGACTACAGAGACTGTTTGAACTCGGTCCTCCAAACCGTCCAATGCTCCCGCGTGCGCTGGAATTCCGAATGTTTCTTGAATAAACGTGTGCCGCTTTTTGTCTCAGAAACTGTGATGTTCGGAAGCTATATGTTTCTTCCGAGTAATGGAAATCATTTGCAGGTCAGTAATAAAGGCTCTTGACAAGCAAGATCGCACAACTCTTCTGGTCCTTCCCTTCCCATTTTGAGGGGGAACAAAGGGTGACTTTGTTTAGGGGATTTATCGGCAGTCATCCCTCTTTCGTTTTCATTTTCAGTCGACTCTGCATTCACAAATTCATTATTGAGCTTTTCCCGCGAATTATTGCTTGAAAGCAACAATCCAAGAACGAATTCGCGGGCAAAACTCCCGATAATGAAGTTGTGGGTGAAAAGTTGACCCATAATGAAAGAAAAGTTTAAAAAAAAACGCTGAGCAGGGTCTTCAGACAGAGACTCCCCCTCTGCCGCTTAGATGGGGGAGGACGCGTGTTGGATGAGTCGCCTGAACCTGCTCGCAGTTTCCAATCCAGATGGCTTGTGTAGCGGCAAAGCACTGCTGAAAAAACCATGCTAAAGAAACGTCACAAAATGTTGCAAATGCATAATCATGTCGCAGCTTAGCAAAAATTCTGTCATTTTCATCCCCGTCTCCCCCTCCTCTGCCCCATACGAAATACACTGGGGCCGCTTGTTGAAAGTGGGAATTATAATGGAAATCGGAAAGAAAAACATTCGCGAAGAAATCCAATTCGAATGAGTGACCAAAAGGTACGCGCTCTAAGCATGTTCGACATTGATTTTTAAAGGATTGACCTCAAATAGTCCCGGTGGTCCCGAAATGACCGCAAATGTCTGCGCAGCCAATCACGCACTCTACCAAACTGAAGTGGGCGGCCGCATCGAGGCTCGGTGGACCGCCCATCAAAGGCGTTACCCCCCTATCTCAACCAGGGTCAACCGTCCGTTCGAACTGTTCGAACGAAGGGGTCGCATTTTGGTCGGAAGGGGGTCGCAATTTCGAGGACTGCCAGCCACAGGCGCGTGCGTGGCGTATCCGAGGGCAAGAATTGTTTGTGCAGACCGCATTAGATTCGATTAATTATGCACAGAGAGACAGTTTTAGGCAAATTACGGTGTTTTCCTTGAGGAATAACGAACAGTTGAATGCATCCCTATGAAAGTTTGACTTTGACTACTCGGGGCTGAAATTAAAGTTCTTCGTAGACCTAATTTTCTGAGACGATTCTTCCAGACAACGGTGAAACATATAAGGAAGCCGAAATCTCGTAGTCTTCAAAAATGTCTTCGCCCTCCATGCAAGCCTACTTTCACATTGAAGAAGGACTGAGTAAATGATGTATGTCGCCTTGAAAGCCATAAATGCTGCTCAAAAACCTATGCGTGAACAAAATGTTCGAACGTGTGATTTTCTCGGAAAATGGACTTTGAAAAACGGTTTGAGGCTTGTTAGAAAGAGCAAATCCTGTACTTTCACCCCATGAAAAAAGTGCATCACAGAAATGAAAATGAAGTGAGTTATGGTCGCTGAAAGCCCAAAAACTCGCTTTTGCACGAAAAATGTTCGAACGGGACAATTTTTTGAAAAAGGGGACAATCACTAAACTTTTTATACTGTTTGTTAGAGAAATATTTGAAGTTTCTGAAACTTTTTACAGATTTCCAAAATGTCGCATACGAAAGATTTTATGGGCCTTCAAAGTTGAAGGTGCGCCTTCTTAGAATTTTGGGTTTTCCACTTCTAACAGAAGTACTTTCCGGAGAGTTAGGCAATCCTTGTAGTTTTCTGGAAAGCGCACCTCAGGCACAATCAAAATCTACCTCAACAAGTCAAAAAAATACGTCCCAAGAAAGTTATTCCCTCTAAAATTTTTTCTTCGCCGCGTCCCGTTCTTCCAGCGCCCGGGTGATACCTGCCGCGCTCCAAGGCTGACGCCGCAACGCAGACGCTGTCTGCGGCGGCGGCAGACGCTTTCTGGCGCAACGGATTCATGTCTAGCACTCTTATTAACAAAACAGGGGGTCGCAAACGGACCCCCCGAGAGCTAGGGGGTCGCAAAAATCCCGAAAATGTTCGAACGTGACGGTTGACCCTGTTCGGAACGCCTTCAAAGGATAAGTTTCAAAACCAGGTCATTTCCTATGTATTATTACGGCTAGTGCATGTCTCCACCTTAAGGCATTCGAATGGTTGAAACCGTGCTTGGACTGTTGCCTAAACTGTGCGCTATTGTCGGGGTGCCCGATGCATTAATTGGCGATCTTCTTCAATTTGTCGCGACCTCCAAAGCGCTATATAACGATAAACATAGCTTTGAGCTTCACTGTATAGCAGGGAAAGTAGGCGCCGTAAATTCTCTGTAAATAAAAACAGATCAGCCTGGAGATGAGAGATATGCACCACCTCCTCCCGCTCTGCGCCGGCGCCAGGTCAACTTGTCCATACCCTCTTCCCAAAGGGATGGGAGATTGAACTGAAGACGTCGTCAGGTGCCACCAACCGATCTCATCCGGACTGTGGTTTTCTTTCGTGTAACAGTGAAGGCTGCTGAAGGGGAAGCATCGATTTTGAAAGATTTTAGATTTGAAGGACGATGTCAAGGCAGGTTCTGGCAGAACACCGGCTCGTCATACTTCTTTGCGCAACCTGGGTCTCCTTGCCGTGTGAACTCATAGTAAAAGTTGATGGCTGCTCCCGTTGCATAGCTGTTGATGCCGGGTAATCCCTCATCATTTTCCCTGCAGTCCTGCTTGCTTTGCCCGTTTACTGATAGTCGGCCACCTCCAGTGCTTTCTGAATGAAAATTCAAGACGACAAATGGTAATGGAGAGACTTATGACCTCATCGAATCTCGGCTTCTTAACCGAGGAACGTAGGAGCGAATCGTCGAGAAACTGTTCGAGGGATGGAGCAGAGATCTAGGTAGGAATGGTGCATACCTCTGATCTCCTCAAGTGATTTTTAATCTATGATATTTACAGAAGGGTTTGGGAAGTCTTCTGAGCAACCTAATAGAGTCAATTTTTCATCGGAAAAACTCTTCATCTTTATATTAATTGTTTTATTCCGACTGGCACTCTTGCAGACCGATGTCGCGCCTCCTGCCCAAGAAGTACATGCACCGGTTATTTGCGTTGGTACACCTGCTGACCTCAAGCCGAAATGCAATTTGGAGGAGCACACAATGGACAGTAGTGGCAGTACAGTGCTTTGCACAAGTACTGCAAAACTCTTACCGCACTGAGTTCAGAAAATACGCTACTGGTTCAAAGAAATGATCGCTGTGATTGCAATTTATTGTCTTTTCCTTCGCCCGAATAATTTAATACAAACCGACTTTTTGTGATTCGAAGTTGCAAGCGACTCCTGGAAGCTACTGTGTAAACTTTAAGGTGTTCCTTGCTTATTTAATGTTGACCCATCCCTTACATGTACAAGGCGTAACTATATGTGCTACGCTGCCTTTGTCGGCTATCCTACAAGTCACAAGTTTTTATTTTTTCTGTAAGGTGCAAAAGGCATTTCGCTTATGGCACATCTGCAAATTCTTCGTAGCACAACGTGACGCCGCTGATGGAAGTCTTATTGCGAAATTTCTAAAATGTCACTCCATGAGCAGAATCAAGGTCCTTCCCCATTGTCTTTTCAGTGCGTGAGGAAGTCCACTACTGCAGTCGAATTCAAGAAGGCCTACCGTAATTGCACCATCATTGAGCTGAGCAGCGATTTTTTTCAATTATTAACCAAACAATTTCCCAAAGGCAGTGGCTCTACCTGTGCTAGAGCCGGCGGCAAGCATTACAGACAACATGGTAATTGTCCCAGAACCGTCGAAGAGCTCGTTGAGCTCGAATCTTCGCACCACAATCATGATTCTTCCAATGTCGTTCGTTATGAAGACTTATGATTTTGTTGGAAACATTTGTTATGAGCTTAGTTAATCCTTGTCAATTCGATTCTGGATTGAATGAAAGTGTGAGTTTTCATTGACATTACCCACTGCCCAACTGCTTGTAACGTACTGTTTAGTTGCGAAGAAATTTTTGGTTGTATTCGACCTTGAAATTTAAATATGCAAAGTGGTTTCCCCATTATGCAGGCTTTCCAAAAAACCGACAGCGGTAAGCAGAGCACTTTATTTCATCCAGCAAGGTCGATGAAATCATGTGGACAGCATTCCAAAATAAGAATCGAGGAAATACATTAAACAGCTGAGGGGATGTTCCCTCCAAAAAAAGACTTGAAAGCGGAACCAACTAAGTTCTTGTGGAACCGTCACCTCAGTGATGCAACACTTCTCGCAATTGAGCCGGAGAGGCAATCCTTCTTGTTCATAAACCAGTCATTGAAATCAAGTTCAGTCAACAAAACTTGCCAGTTGCTAACTCCTTTCTTGTGCGCTAACTATGCTATGGTAACTGGGTCGTCTTACAAGGAGGGGTCTTTCAGGGCAAGCCACGCTTTTTCAAAACGGTTCCTATTGGGACGCATATGGGTAATTCAATACAGGACCATTTTGAAGCCAACAAGTGGTCGCCAACCTTTATTGCAAGAAAATCGTAGAGGCGCGCTGCAGTGGCAATTTCTATAGGTACCTCAATAATAAAATTCAGGATAAAAGATGCATTGGGTTTTTGAAGTATGGTGATCTTGTAGCATGTAATGCGCAAGACAAAGCTAACATGCTTGCTGATCATTTTTCGAAATCTTTCTCAAAAGACGATGAAAGAATTCCTTACTTTTCGTCGTCCTTCACATCATCTATGAAGGATCTGCCATGGTTTCATGCAGATCAACTTTACAAGCAGAGTACGAGCTGGCCTAAGTCCTCTTTTGTAACCCCTGACTTCGTTCCATTGATTTTTGCTCAGAAAGTGGCTGATGTTATCTGTGGAACCACTTGCGTACATATTCAACCAATCGTTGATGATAGGGGAGGTTCCTGATCGCTGGAAATCACTCTTTCGTCACTCCAGTGCAGGGTCAAGCGTGCGTTGAGGAATCCTCGACACGTCACAGGGGGGGGGGTCGTATTGGCCCGCTGGGAGGAAGAGATCGGGCCGGATTGACGCGGTAGGATCATCACCATCGGAGGACAAACATCAAGGGTCGATGCCAGGCCAGAGGATTTCCAATAACAATGTCATTCTGCCCACATTCGTGATTCAGAGATGTCCGCTTAGCAATTCTTAGTTACTTGTCCTCTGACGGTGATGATCCTGGTTTTGTCACCATACAAGTTAAACAATTCGAAATAATTCGCACTTTTTCCAAGGATATTTTATCTTTCAAGTGAGTCCTCGATCTAAAGGGCGCTCGCTGCACGCCAACCTGGCCGCTCATTGCTGTGGCGTATGCGGATGTTGGGTAGAGACGTCGTGGACTCGACGTATACTTAACTTGTCAACGTAAGGGATAGTGGTGCCATTAATGGTTTTCAGTGGTGAGGCTGCTGCTCTGCGACAAGTGGCAGAATCGCGACTGACACCATGAGCTAAGATTTGGAGAGTGAACTCTCTAGCAGATTCTTACTGCTACTTATAGGCTACGTGAATATTCTAGGCATAAAGTAATACCTCGTTTTTAAGAACGGTTGGAAGCAGATTTCCTGGACCATCGGGAATCCATTCCCGCCAAAGTCAGTTATACGGCCCCAGCAGAATGCCAAACGAGGCTTTGGTTTGGCTAATTCCACTGAGGGCGTTAGTGAGAGTACGAGGGACAAGCGGCGGTCTGTGAAATTACAGTTAGGAGTACACCATTCAAAAAGAAACACAGTCTTCAGCGTCAAATTCTTAAGCACGTAACCCTTAAAGTTGAGATACACTAAACTATTTTACACTTCTTGGAAGAGAGAAGCAGGAGCATTTCGAATCTGCCCCTACTTTAGTATGTAATCGCCTCTGAAAGGAGCTATAGCCGTTGAAATAGGGCCAATGCAGCAAAAAAGTACCTTTCGGCGGTACTCGGGCAGAATCCAACCCCTGATGTTCTATAGTTTATTGCATATGGGATGATCAGCTTCCGATTATGGACGAGTTTCTGTTACGGATTTATGGCTTTGGAAAGCGTAAGATTTCGCACTCATCGCAAATTTTCCTCGTTAATTTTGCAAAAATCCTCAACGTGGCCATTTTTTAAGTACTGGAACGTATGAAGTTGCTTTAGTAACCGTTTGATAGAGAAAATCTTCTAGTTTTGTCTGCCATATTAACTTTTCGAATTTGACGAAAATGAAGCAAGTTATGGCTTCGGAAAGTGTAAAAACTCGTGCTCATCATGAATTTTCCTCGTTAATTGATCTAAATTTGTTATTTCTCATAAATTTTTGTAATTTCAATACTGATTAGAAAGAGCTCTTCACAAAACTCCCAAATCTGCTTTCAGATTGAAAATTCGTCGTTACTTTGAAGAAAGTTATAATCATTTGAATATTTGTTCAAATTTCAATAGTACATAAGCTGCTCCACGGTCAACGCCAAAGTCCAGTCAACACACAGCTGGCTAAGCAGCGTTCAAAGGATCTTTATTCATTGAGAGGGGGACGTTCAAATTGATGAACCAGATCTGTTGTTCTAGGGACTTAGAATTTGGAAGCGTTATGCATGGTATAATAAATAGGAAGGTGCATGTTGAATAATAGCTATGCATGTTTGTAATATAGTTTGATCGTTTTTTGCTCTACTTCTCGTTTGCTCGATTTGGGTAGGGTCATCAGTAATGATTGCATTTTAGTGTGACCTATTAAAAATTTTATTGGTGTACTATGTGGAGGGTTAGAGATTTCTTCGCTTATCGAATACTGTGGTGTCTGTTCTTGGGGGTTGAGAATTAGACAACCTTTTTATAGCTCGTTTTTTGAAAAGGTGTCGTTCTCATGCGACTTCGACTCTCTTGGGAGAAGGGAGGGGGGATGTCCGTATTCTCCAATCTTTGCCACAATCGGGTTCGTTGAACCCTGCTTCGCTTAGGCGCTTAATTGAGTCCCGCTGGCCCGACCCTGCGACATTTTTATCGACCTGGTTAGCTATAACGGGGCTCTTTATTTAGTAGACTGGCTTGAGAAAACTATTAGAGCATTTATTCTTTAGGTATGTTCTGCTGCGACAGAATCATCTCTTCTACGCGCCAGATCGTTTCACTCTAGCGATCGGCTGAAAACGAATATGATGATATGAATATGGATGAATTATGAGAAAGCCTTGAGGAGTGCTGGACCACAGCGTTTGACAACAATCGCTGCTGTGTTGGCACATATTTTGACTATGCTAAAGCCTTTGACAGAGTGTCCCACAAAAATTTGCTTTATAAGCTGGAGGTGCAGGAGTTCATCCAACTCTGCTGGTCAAATGGATCTCCGATTCCCTCTCTGGCCGAACCTTCATGTTCTTGTTGGCCAAGCTTACTCTGGACAATAGAGAAGTGGTCAGCGGAGTACCACATGCATCAAGTGGGCAGTTCTTTCACAGTGCTTCGTATTTACACCAGTATGAGGTGGCCATACGTATTTCAATTCAATGGCGTTGAACTTCCAATAAGATGTATGCTGATTGATGATGAAAATCGATAGTTATCACTGAAAGGGATAAGGAGGAGCATGATAAGGCTATTACCCTAAAATCCCATAGATAAGAGCGGTTTAATTTACCGGTGAAAAATGAATTGGAATGAAATTGAAATTGAATGCAGTCACCCCTCTAACTTGATGGATGGATAAATAAAAATCGGAGAAGAAGTTTAGAAGAAGCTCCGTCCCTCAACTCTAAACCCCGCCCACTTAATAAACAATTCATATAGAAAAATAGCGATTTTAACGGAATTTCTGCCGGAATCTCTCTAGAAATGCCGGAATTTGATCTCTGGATAGAACTTGAAGAGCCCATTCGATCAGTAAAATTCCATAGAGGAAAGCGCGGTTTAATTTACCGGTAAAAAATGATTTTGAAAAAATATTTTTATTTTTATTTTATTTTTGAAAAAATATCTATGGACCGCTCTTATCTATGGGATTTTAATCGTCAACTGATTGGGAAAGCGGTGGCAACTACCCTTACGCCCCACACAGAACGATGTGTATGACGATTGGAAATGGGACTGATTTTTCTTCTAGTCCTCGTTTTGTTGATGGGGTTACTATCTCTATTTTAAATTATGTAAGGGATCTGGGTTTCCATTACAGCAATACTATCGACATCCCTACCAGGTCATTTGGTCAACCCGGCCATTTGAAATGAGATGTGTATA